AAAAAAAAAAAAAAAAAGTTGAAACCTAATGCCTACCCTCAAGGAGTGACCAGGTATGTAGGACGCTAAGACAAATATATTCCCATTTAGTGATAAAACAACTCACTAAACTTAAAAAGTAGTATTCTTCAGCTCAGTAGTTAGGGTGCCAGCCATATACACCTGAGTTGGTAGGTTCAAACCTGGCTCAAGCCCAAGAGTGAGGTTGCTGTGAGCTTTGATGCCATGGCACTCTACCAAGAGCAACATAGTAGGACTTTGTTTCAAAAAAAAAAAAAAAAATAGCTGGGTGTTGTAGCAGGCCCCTATAGTGGCAGCTACTTGGGAGATGAGGCAAGAAAATCACTTAAGCCCAAGAGTCTTGAGGTTGCTGTGTGAGCTGTGACGCTACAGCACTCTACCAAGGCAATATAAGTGAGACTGTCTTAAAAAAAAAAAGCCTAAAAACAGTATATAGTCAAGCAGAAAAAGTTTGCCAACCTCAGAGAATTTTCAATAGAGTAACACAATGAAGACTGTGTTAGGAAAACAGTCTTGAAGGTAGTTTTATCCAGTTAAATGAGTATTTAATGTCTACTGGATGTTAGATAAAATGAATGGAGAAATAGGGTCTGGCTATGGGAACTTCAGTTAGGTGAGGAAGACAAAGCAGGGAGCAGTGTCTCATGCCTGTAATCTTAGCACTTTGGGAGGCCAGGGTGGGTGGACTGCCTGACCTCAGGAGTTTGAGACCAGCCTGAGCAAGAGCAAGACCCTGTCTCTACTAAAAAAAGGTAATTATAATACAGTATGTGTCAAAAGAGGTTAAGAGCTGAAAAAGAGGGAGGCTGAAGCCTAAGCCCAAGAGCTGGAGGTTGCTATGAGCTGTGACACCATGGTACTCTACGGAGGGCAACATAGTAACACTGTCTCAAAAAAAAAGAACTGAAGAAGAGACCGTTAGCTCAAAGTATTTAGGGAAGGTTTCTGGAGAAGGTGATACCTGAGAAAAATCCTAGACAATAAGGAAGAGTAAGCTAGGCAAAGAGCAGAAGGGCCTAAAATACCCTAGGGCAGAGGGAAGACAATGAGCAAAGGACAGAGGAGTAAAACACATCTGAATTGTCTGGTACTGATGAATGGAAAAATAACAAGGACAGGTGAGGGCGGCACCTGTGGCTCAGTGCGTAGGGCACTGGCCCCATATGCTGAGGGTGGCGGGTTCGAACCTGGCCCCAGCCAAACTGCAACAACAAAATAGCCAGACGTTGTGGCAGGCGCCTGTGTTCCACCTACTCGGGAGGCTGAGGCAAGAGAATTGCCTAAGCCCAGGAGTTAGAGGTTGCTGTGAGCTGGGATACCACAGCACTCTACCAAGGGCAACAAAGTGAGATTCTGTCTCTAAAAAACAAACAACAAGGACAAGTAAAGCTAGAGACTGGCTGGGGCAAGTTTCCAATTGCCTTTTATCTGTTCTATTGAGCACTGGGGAGCTGTCAAGATCTGTATTTAGGCTTGGTGCCTGTGGCTCAAGTGGCTAAGGTGCCAGCCACATACACCTAAGGTGGCGGGTTCAAATCCAGCCGGGCCAACCAAAACAACAATGAGGACTGCAACCAAAAAATAGCCAGGTGTTGCAGTGGGCGCCTGTGATCCCAGCTACTTGGGAGGCTGAGGCAGGAGACTCGCTCTTGAGCCCAGGAGTTGGAGGTTGCTGTGAGCTGTAATGCCACAGCACTCTACCCAAGGGGACAGCTTGAGGCTCTGTCTCAAAAAAAAAAAGATTTGTATTTGGATAGGTCATACTGGCTGCAATGTTTAAGATATGCTTGAGGAGGTAAGATCTGTTAGGATACTTTAGTAGATGAAGAGGGTCTGAAATAGAGCAGTAATAGCTCTATTTCAGTGGACAGCATGGACTTGAGAAAGGAAAGATCAGCTGAACATGATGATTGAGGACATGTGGGGTAAGAGAAGGCAAGAATTACTCTGAAGTCTCTAGTTTGGGTGAAGAGTGATTCCCATTAAGGGAGAAGAATGCTGGAGACGAGCTAGGTTGAGGGGAAAGATGAAGCATTCTCTCTCCATTACCTATTTCTATATTCCTGGTCCTTCCCTTGCTTCTCCAAGAAGAAGCAGTAACTCCACAGGGATGGCAAAATCGCACTTTGCAAATGCTCTGTGGCGTCTGGGAGGCTCTAGGTAGAGGTCTGGGCTGGAGAATACAAATTTGATGTGCTTAGGGAGGGAGGTGGAGGCAGAGGATGGTGCTAACCTAGATGATGGGGAATAAGCTTCCAAGCGGAAATGGACCTTGGTAGCAATACAGGATCTTCTGTCATTCATAGTGCAACTCTGGAAACCTCACGAAGTTTGGATCACTGCAGGGGGGGGGATACACACCTTGATTTAAGAATGTCAGAGGTTCTTTTATTCTCTTATTCACTTAAGACAGGTGAGTTTCTTTCTTTTTTTTTTTCCTTTGACAGGCGAGTTTCATGGTGTGCCTCTACTCTCCTCAAAACACAACACTAAGAGATAATGTGCTCAATGTCGGGCCCTCACATGGGTGATAATCTGCGCAGGATTCTCCTCACCTGATCCGCAAAATAGATCTTCTGCTTGCCATAGGTCTTCTCTTTGATCTTGCCTTGTTGGGCCAGCTGCTCCAGCGCCTTCACCACCGCCTGGCAGAGGGGAGGGACGAAGCCATCAGAGGAGTCTTTGGGCTCGAGCAGGGGGAATTTCAGCCAGTGATGGGGAAAGAGCCCCAGGTTCGAGAGGACAGGACCCCAGCCTGATTCGAGGGGGCCTCACGGGGGAATCCCTATGAAGAGGTCCTCACCGCCTTGCCCAGTCCGTGTTCCCTCTGCAGGTTCCCAAACACGTCCTGGGCGCTGTAGGGCCTGTTCTGCTCCTGGAGGTACCTCAGGAGGATCCCGGCGGCTGTGAAGAGACGAGGCAGGGGAAAGGCCACTCAGCCGACCTACTCGCCCACTCCCCTCCTGGGTCTCCCACCCCGCGCCCACGCCACCGTTACCTCCAGCCGCAGCTTCTGCTCGCCCTTTACTCATGGCCTTTCCCGCCGCCAAACTGAGCAGGTCGTTAAGAGTTGCTCCGGTAACGCCTCCTTCCGGTGACGGGGGGCGGGCTCAAGCGGTGATTGGCTCAAATAGGGAAGCCATCTGGGGAGGAAGAGACCCTTCCCGGACGCCGTAGCTCACTTCTGCCCGGCGCACTGAGGCATGAGACCCAGTTTGGACCTCTCCCTGCCTTCCTCTGGCAACTTAGACTGCGGTAGAGAACGCCTTCAAGTTTCCAGACCCAGATCCAGCCGCGGCTGAACACTTGTAACCTTGACCTAGGCCCAGTGTTGTAACGGGGAGACACTTCAGGGATCAACTTCCGCGCGGGGCAAGCGACCAGCTCAAGGTCACAGTGCTAGTTACCCACAGGGACGTGTCTTGATCCCACGGTCCAGCTCTTTCGTCAGCCTGTTTTATCCCTTGTAAAGTAGGTGTAGTAGCTACTTGTAGAGGATGGTTGTGAAAAAATTAGGAAGCATTAGCGCTTCGCAGAGCGTTTACACTCCCATTGTTTGTCCTTTACCGAGCTTTGCACCCAGGGGGCGCCCGACATCTGCTGTGGGTGGAACACCAAGGAAAGATGGGAGGGGGCTACTTTTAAGCCACAAAGCTTGTATAAGTTTGTTAGCCCTGTCAGTCTCAGGGCCACACCTGGCAGGTGCTTTCCATTCTTGACCACAGTGGCCAATGGGACAGAGCCTGAAATAAGTATTTCTAGTTTCTGAGGTCAGCTGAAGGCCGAAGAGCAGCTGTTCCTGCAGCTCAAACAGTCCAGTAGAGAAGCATTTCTATTTTTTAAAACCTTCTATCTAAAAGCTCCTCAGCCTGACAAACATGTGCTTGTCTTTGCAGGTTTAGAAATGGAACTGCAAGCTATATTACAGCCAAGTGTGCCAGTTATTCTCACATCTGGGCTCCCTGAGGAAGGGAAATGGCCTCCTAACTATAGTGATTGTTCTGGGCAGCACAAAGAAAAAACCTAAGTAGACTTCGGGTCCCTCACACCTGGGCTGTCACCTCAAATAAATCCAGAACTCAGATTAACAAGAGAAGACCTATCAAGGGTAGGACACCATGCAACATCAGTCCTCAAGATTGTTCTCAAATAAGATTTATTCCCCAACACCCGCCCACCCACCCTCAATTCACAGTGGAGGACTAAGGAGATTCAGAGCAGGATCCCCTAGGTACAAGAAACCTTCTAAAGGTTTTGCTCTTCTTCCTTCCCTCCCTCCCTCTTGCCAACTCCCAAGGCCTGAAGCTACACACACTCATGCAAACACGCAAAATCCCACTCCTTTCCCACACCTGTTTCTCCAAATCAGAGCTCACCTCTTAAGACATCTGGGCTCTGAGAAGAGAGAATGTATACAAAGTCTAAACCTAAAGTGGGGGGCATGAATATCATTACCCCTGACTCTGACCATCACACACAAGTGACTATGAGACAGGCATCCAGCTCTTCTCTCTTCTCACTGCCGGAACTATTTTCACTCCCTGGCCTCTCTGTACATTGTCCATCAACCAAGACAAACTTGTCAGCACACCCCCACCTGCAGCACATGATATAGGCTCTGTCCAACATCCCTAACCCAAGTATGGGAGTTTTAGGGGAGTGGTCCCTGAGGATCAGCAAAGGGTTAATGCAGAAGGAACGCAGATAGAAGAGTTTGGCTTGAGCTCTGACTGGGGGAGTGGGCAGGGAGAGGTTATAGCCTGGCACAAGCTTAGAACCATCTATCGTTTTTGGATTTTTGTCTCACATGATTTTACTAGGGGCCGCTAAACAGATAACCCTCAAAGAGGTGTCTGCTGATTATACACACCTTGCTAACTGGGCTCATCCTTAAAGGAGGCTCTGCCAAGTTGGGAAACAGATGAAAATAAAAGCAGTAAAGTAGCTGAATAGGGAGTAAGAACAGCTGGTGCAAGAAGAGCTTGTGGCTCCTGGGATGAATGCCACGGAACCATTTGTAAAGTGCTACTTTGCCATCCCTCATAGAATTATTGCTTCTCCAAAGGAGAAGCAGGGGAAGGACCAGGAACATAGAAATGGATATGGTATTGCTTTGCTCACTGCTCAGACTGATGGTCAAATGGAGCCAGGGGTTAGCAGCACCAAAGACAACCACACAGCTCCAGAAGATTCAGTGATACAGAATCTGAAGATACAGAGGCACTCACTGATCTAGCCAGCTGACCCCCATGGCCCAAAGTGATGTAGAAGAGGCCCATCCCCACAATTATGTTCACATTTCTTAAATTTAACAAGCAATACTTTGGGGCACTCAGGAACAGGCCTCAAAAAATATGGATGGGCTAGAGGAGAGGGTGCAGGCCTGTTCTGCAGAACCAAGGAAAAAGTTTACTTAAACATCCTAGTTTAGCAAAAGAAGATGGTAACAATGTAACTCTTCCAGCTGCTGCATGATTGGTGGGGAGGCTCTAGGGAGGTGATGAAGGGAGGAAGGGATGGGCTCTTTTATCAGTGAGGGCCTCTGAGCACCCATACCTAAAAGCAAACAGCAGCACCTCCTCAAAGGGGAATCAATATCCCTGACTATTTTGTTCCCCATTAAGTACCATCATGATGGAGAGAGGCCTCTCTCAGGGGAGCACACTCTCACTTCAGTGACTGAGCTCAGAAATGGGTATCCAGCTGGCAGCAGGGGCATGAGTATCCTCTATATGCAGGCCTCTGAGCATCAGTCAGGCCACCCAGCATACAAATATAATTCAGGGGATGGGAGCTGGGTTCTTCCCTTGCCCCATCACCTTAAGTGGGATGGGGAGAAAAAAAAGCTAAACCACAGTGAACCCCATAAGGAGTCTGCCTCAGTGGCTCCTGGAATTGGCAGGGTCCAGCTGATTCAGCTCTGACTGATCCAGAAGTTCGAAGTCATCCCCCTCAGCATCAGTGTCCAGGTCTGAACTAGGGGACCGGAGGATGGCTCTTGTTGCTCTCCGGGAAGGTGGGCCAGAAGGGCCAGGCTGGGAAGCTCCTGACAAAGCCAGCTGGATCATACCCTGGGAGACCAGGCTGGCAAGGTTGCTGGTGAGGTTGGATCCTACAGGCAGAGCACTGAGCAGGAGCTCCGGCAGTGCAGCCTCATCCCGACTGGCAGGGGGAGCCCGGGGGTCCTCAGCCCCTGAAGGGGAACGGTACATCAAACTGGGCATGCCAATGCTGGTGTCGTCCTCGTCATCCAGGCCAGCAGGATCCACATTAATAGAAGGGAAGTCGGGAAGGTCTCTGGCAAAGGATTCTTCTGGATCACTGTGACCATCTAAGTCTGGGAGAATAGGGATGTCTAAGATACAGCAACTACCTGGCCCTCCTATGGCCCTGGACTTACAAAATGCCCTATATAGCCAGACTGTCCCCACCTGGGACTTCTCAGAGTCAAGTAAAACCCATGAGGCTGGTTTAGCTCCCCACACCCCCTTACAGATGGCTATGATCTCTACTGGCATAGAACTCACCATCTCTTTTTCTATTATGTCCCTCATGAGGCCAGAGCCTGAGGTTACAAAGGGACTAAGGGCTTCAAGAAGAGCAGCAGTACCATCCTGGCTGTAGCTACCCCCTTGGGCGCTTTGCCACCTGACCTACAGCTCAAAAAACGGAGTAGGGGGTATCAGTATCCCTTCTGTCTAGGGAAGCTGAGACAACAGACAGAACCATTATCAACTCAGATCAAAGTTCCTCTCACCTTCAGAGCCTTCTGTTAGAGGTGTTTGGCCCCTTGAAAGATTGAATGTGCCATTGTCTGTACAGGAGACCTCAGCATCCGAGTGCTCTGAGTCCGTGATGGCCAATTCCTTGGCAACAGTAGAATCATCCAGCTTAGGAAAAGAAAAGACCGATGAGCCTGAGATGATGCCATTAGGAACCAGGTGCAGTCCCCAGGTACAGCTTTATTAATTAGCTGGATTTAAAGGTTACCCCAAGACCATCAGTGTAACCAGGGATACAGACTTTAGTAAAAATCTTGACCTTTTAGGCTGTCTCCCAGAGAAAATGCTCTTATTAATTTTTTGAGCACAAGAAAAGCAGTCTAGGAATTACTCTTAAGCAAGTAACTGATCCAGAGATAATTGTTCACAGGTGGCCAGGAGGATATACACAATACCCAACCTAAAGGACTGAGCTGTTTAAAAGATAATCATACCAGTGCCACAGTTCTTCCAGGATGGTAGGTTAAAAGGAGACATGGAGGAGGGCGTCCTGGGCATCAGGTTTAAATTGAGATCTATAGGGGTGGCACCTGTGGCTCAGTGAGTTGGGTGCCAGCCCCATATAGAGGGTGGTGGGTTCAAACCCAGCCCCTGCCAAATTGCAACAAAAAAATAGCCGGGCGTTGTGGTGGGTATCTGTAGTCCCAGCTACTCGGGAGGCTGACGCAGGAGAACTGCCCAAGCCCAGGAGCTGGAGGTTGCTGTGAAGTGTGACGCCATGGCACTCTACCAAGGGTGACAAAGTGAGACTCTGTCTTTAAAAAAAAAAAAAAAAAAAAATTGACATCTAGATACAAAAATCCCAATATAACCTTAGCTTCTCTTCTTGCTTCTGCCCTTGGGAGCAAGAGGAGTCCAGAGCTTAGAGAGCCAGTGATGATCTTAAAACCTGGTTACTGCTTAAATATGAGCTGCCAGATAGTTAAAAGGAAGCTAAAGAAAACCAGACAGTGAAAAGTTGCTACACTCAATATACCTGAGGACAGAAGGCAGCAAGTTCTTCTTCGCTGTCACTGTGGTTGTCCATGGCCCGTTCTGGATGTACAGCTCTGCGGCGCACTGTATGGAAAGAGCAGAAAGCTTTGATTACTTCCTTGAGTGTGTGTGGGGGGCTCCTCTTGGACTTCAAAGGCATAATCAGAACAAAAGAAAAAGGCCCCTGTGACTATGGCCCTAAGCCTACATAAAAATACCATGGCTGCTGAGCCTAAGTAACAAGGAGATTCAATAACACAGAATAGAAGAGCTCTCTTCCAATATCCTTCCTTCCACCAGCCCCTACACATTTCTATCCTGGTCAGATAATCAACCACAAGGTTTGTCAACAACTGTCAAGCAAAAGGCAGACCTGATGTCAAGGTAGTAAGTAGACATTAACATAAGGTGGGCAAAAGAAGAGGCCCACCTTGGTTAAATCAGGCTTTTGAGAAGTGATACTTTTCAAATGGCTGCCCCAGGGGTAGGTGGAGCTTGGTGACCGTGCGCAAGGCTCTTTGAAGACCAGGGTTTAATGAAACACGCAAACTAACAAGACCACAGAAGAGAGAAAACAGTTTGCACTACCATCATGGAGGTGTTGAATGGATGTCAGCTAGTATACTTCTGATTCTGAGGTAGCAGGGTTTTTTTGTAGAGACAGAGTTTCACTTTATTGCCCTGGGTAGAGTGCTGGGGCATCACACAGCTCACAGCAACCTCCAACTCCTGGACTTAAGCGATTCTC